TTATATTAAACGTTAAAAGTTTGAAGTACTGGAACATTAAAATATTAAAACATTGAAACATTAAAACATTGTAATATTGAAACATTAAAATATTAACATATTAAAACATTGGAACATTAAAATATTAAAATATCGAAACATTTAATATTTGACAGGAATTTCAAAAATTTCGGGGTTTTTGTCACAAAAATCCTCTGCGCTCTTCAGCAAGTGCTCCCTAAAAATCGCTGATTCGAGAAGCCTTAAGCGGCCTTCTTCTTGCGCGGCACACTGTGCTGGCTCGAATTGGTTAAATAAAACATGAATTGCACGACGGTCGCTAAAAGATAGAGCACGCCGAGCACGACGATCAGAAGGAACGCGCAAACGTCCAACAACTCCACTTGCCACCATGTCAAATCCATTGCAGGCGATCTGAGTGCATTCGCACCGTGTCTGATGATGTATTCGACCCAATAAACTGCAGTGTCCGCTGGAGATAACGGTCGATCCAGGAACCTTTTCGAAATTTTTCTCATCGTGTCCCTGAAACGTACACGCGTTACAAAATTCATCTCTGATAAAACTCCACCTGATAAAGTGAATCAGCATTTTCTTTGCTATTTTTATGTATCGATATGTTTGTGTTGGAAATTGTGTTCTAGACAAGATTTTAATCGTTTTCTAGACAAATGTTTTGGGGTATTTCGAGTCTTCGCGAGTGATTTGAAATATCGATCATTGTGATTTACTTAGAATTTCGATCACGAGTGATGGGATATTTTCTAGAATTTCTTTATCGAATTATTCGAATATTTTGCCCAGTATAAATTAGTCTATTTGAATTTGATTTATAATTAATTATAGGTAAAAAGGTATTGATCTTTTCGATCGATTCTATCTTCGCGTGAGTGATCCATATATCGGTAATTGAAGAGTTTCGTACTATAACCTTGTAAGTACCAAATTTTCAAGAACTGAGATAACAATACCGCAAAAATTCAAATACCATTATAATTACTCAATTTTTTTTCAATTATTTTCTTCTAATAAACGCTGAAAATACTCGTTTCCACGTACACGCGCTACAGGCGAAAAATTTGGAAACACTGTGCATTGGAAATTACACAAAATTTTACAGAAGAAAGTTAGCAACTTTAAGAATTCTTTAACGAACTTTCTATCATTCAAATCAATCGAAACGAGGTTAATTGCTAACGATCTCTGCGACATCAATTTCAAATCTACGAAGAATTAGTAACACATTTAACCAGCAAAACCATTTTCCTGAACGATAATTTCTTTTCTTCACTTTTCTATTTTACTTTTCGATTCTTAAATCCTCTTCAATTACAATCACTACACTTGGTATCACGAATTTCATTCGATACATTATACTAAGGCAGTTTCATTAATTATAGATCGTTAAATTTCTCTTAGCCAATTTGTCGAAAGAAATCGAACGAACGAAATATTTCATCGATCGAAGTACCTCGAAAGATGTACATATGTCTAGGAAAGGAGTACTTTATCCTAGTATAGGAGAGTTTGGTCAGCGAAAATGTTGCAGTGGCAATTTACCGGTATTTGGGGTCGTTTAAAACGGCATTCAAAGCTTCATCCATTTTCTCTTGGGTCAAGGTCTTCAGATCTAATCCTACCGCGATGTTGTTCCGGACATAGGTGTCGATATTGATAAATTGATCGGCAAACAACGGTATACCGATCAGAGGGACACCGTAGTGAATGGCTTCCTGGGTGCCCATAAGCCCGCCGTGTGTGATAAATGCCTTCACGTTCGGGTGCTCTGCAAAAATGGATATCTTGTCATCGCGACGACTTTTCGCCCTTCCCCATTATACAATTTTATCGATTTCTCACGAACTTTTTTCTCTCGAGAAAGAGAGTTGCACTTTTGAATATTCGCAAATTTATCGAGCGTAGAAGTGCGTTTTTTTCCCCGACTGGATTTGCATAATTCATTCAAAGCTTCCTTAGCAAGCTGCTAGAAAAACGGCGAAAGGTTAAGTCAGGTAATGGAAGTTATTTCAGTTTTTGATCCTTTTTTATTCGTTTTAAGTAGAGATTACGAAGTTGTTACAGTAATCTAGTTTCGAGGATATAATTTGCTTTTTTTCGTGGAATAATAATCTAGTTTCGAGGATATAATTTGCTTTTCTTCGTGGAATAAGTTTGTTTTATTTAATGCGACTGTCAATCGACAATTTGAACTTAAAATTGGAAAAATAGGGCTTTGCGAGAAAGTTGAATGATTTCGAT